CATATTTACCTCCATTGACAATTAATCGTTGAGTTTTATCAACTGAGAGGCTTGGACCTATATTATCATTGTTAGAATTGTCCACCACAAACTTCCGAGATCAATGCGTAGTTTAATTGGATTATTACAGGCAAGTTATTAGTAATTAAAATTTGGTTAATGCGTTAAATGAGCTTCGATATTCCTTACCATTTTGTTCATCTTACCTTTTCGTTTTAAAGGGTGATCGATCATTAAAAACCTTTAAAAAACATGACAAACGCGTGAACAAAGTCATGTGGTCGCCACATTCTTCTGACACATTTGCAAGTTGTTCAGATGATAGTTTAGTTATCCTTTGGAATGCTAAAGTAGGCTTTATACTTGATAAAAATATGCATATTTTACTACATGGTTTATGAACAACATAAATTTTATGTATAGAAAGCCGATAGTAAACTTGGAGGTGCCTTTTTCAAGCATATAGGCCATCGGTAGATATATTAAGATGTGTTTCAAATAGCACCTATTTTAACTTTTTATATGTGGTAGTAAAATTATCCAACTTTTTTAGTACTAGTGTTGCAGATATCGCATGGCATCCTGATGATGCATTTAGTAATACTATTGCGTCTGTATCCACTAGCTTGATCACCTCTAATGATAATAATAAGATTAAGCCAAGTCTGATTCAAGGTAATATAATTCACCGTTTTTTTCATTCATGGCTAGAAATGTTCATAAATTAATTAATTAATTAATTTGCAGTTTGGCGGCCTAGAAAAACTTTTTTTGAAATAGAAGTTCCTAAATATTAGGATTTTGGTAGTATGTATGATTTAAACTGTTCGCTTTTATATTTCTTTACTAAAATGTAGGGTTGTTAATTGGTGTATTATACTCTGGAGTACTCCAGTCTGAACTCAACCCAGATTGGAGTGAGTCATAAAATAGATTAATTAAAAAATTCAAACCAGTTTGATAACTAGAGTAAATTAAAGACAAAAGTGGAGTATTACAAGTATTATATTAGAACTTATTACTCCAGGCTGGTTTGAGATAAGACATTTTCAAACCATTGACAACCCTACTAAAATATTTACGACTATGTTTTATTTGACTAATTGAAGTATTTAATTTTATGGCAATTAATGTTTTTGATGTAATAAAACCAACGATAATGCAGATGCTATTGCTTAATTTTCGTTGGCCGGTAAATTGAACTTGTTTTTTCATAATAACTTTTATTTAGTTTTAAAAATCTAGTAAGTTACAATGTGTTTTTTAAAAAATTATTTTTCTTTAAAGAAAATTACTTATTTTTTTTTTTAATTTTTAAAAACTTAGTAGAACAAGAAATTAGAAATTAAATTCTTACTAAAATTAGCTGTTATTTAATATATTTTTTAAAAATTAAAAACAATTAATATCCATATACAGTATATAGAATATTATTATAGAATATGTTTTAAATGTTTTAATTATTATTAGTTAAATAGTATATTGTATTACAAAAAATATATAAATATATTAGATTTTAAGTTAAATTTAAATAAATTTAAATATTATAAGTATATAGATTTTATATACAGTAAAGTATATTTTATTATTTAAAAACAAACATATAAATTACTGTATTTAAATAAATTATTTAAATAATTAATAAAATTAATAATAAATTAATATAATATATATATATTAAAATTTTTAATTTTACAGATTGTAAAAAGTATTATACAGTATATATTATACAGTTAGACCTCCCTAAATGCATATTCTCTAAATGCATAGCATGGCCTTGTTTGGCCTCAACTCATATAACACATATAGATTTTTACCTCCCTAAATGCAATACCTCTCTAAATGCAAGATTTTTTGGCCGCCCAAGGTTATGTATTTAGAGAGGTCTGACTGTATAGTATAGCTATAAATAGCCAAAAAATTTTATATTTAAAGAGGTGTTGTATTTAGAAAAATAAAAATTTATAAATATTATATTTAAAAAATCTATACAATTAATAAATACTATATATATTAAATAATTTTAACTATATATTGTTTATTTTATTTTATTTTATTTTATTCTTTAACAGTTTTGTTAGAACTTAAATACAAAATTTTACAAAAAAAAAATATAAAACTATTTTTAGTAAATTCTTTTACAATTGCAAGCCTGGTATTACCTGGTTACAAATATTGCATTTAAATATAATTTGTTATATTAACTTATATACAAGTCAAAAAACTTTGTTAGCTCTGTCAAAAACTAAACCAGAATAAGCCAATTCTACTCTAAATTACTTTATTAACTCTTTTTTTTAACCAACTGAGCAACTTTAATCTCTTTGAACCTGCTTTTTGTAATATTTTTTTTTTTATAATCTATTTTTTCTTCTTTATCTTTTTGGCTAGTCTTGATATTTGTTAGTCTCTTTCAGTTTTTTTCTTAGACTTGACTTTGTCTTGTTTATATATTTCTTTTTTTTTCTTTATTTAATTACTCTAATATATCTTCTTCACCAAATTTCTTTATAAAAATATTTTTTGATAATTTATCTATATACTTTTAAGCTTTAATTAGTTATCTTTTTTAATAGTTCTAAGGTTATTAGCTTTTTAATAATATTATCAAAATATAAGCTCTTTTATATAACTTTCTTGCTAGCTATATAGAATTGTTCTTGTTGTGTCTCTTAGACTTAATCTTTTTTTTTTTTAGAACCTTCTTTCTTTTTAGCTTTGTTAAACTTGCTTTATATACTGTATACTAACTAGCAATCTCTTTTGTATTGTTTTAAAAGCTAGTATAACTTTTGCATATTATAAAATAACTAGCTATCTTATTTATCTTTCTATATTCTATATATAGATTATAAGTATACAACTTTAGTCTTTTTTTTTTAAGTATTGTTAATACTAGCAGAATATCATTTATATATTAATTCTAAAAAAGATATGCCTACTAGCTTTAAGTATTTTGCACTTAATATTTATTAATTCTTTATTCTCTTTTCATAATGCTCTTTAACTTCTCTGTGCTGTTTTAAAAAGCTCAAAGCTTTTTAATATACTAGAGTATTGCTACTTTGCTTTTATTATCATATTTAAAACAATACTGTAATTTGTAGCAAATAGTACCCCTTATTAGTGTACCCCCACGATTTGTATCTGGGATTAATCAAGTATTTGTCACAAACATGATTGTAAAAGACCTGGGTATATCTAAGATGTAGTGCATGACTTCTTTTATGTCTTTTTCATTATAATTTTATTAAATAATTAGTCAACCTAATTATTCTCCTTACATAAACTTCTCTACATAAAATACTTTCCACCTGACAAAGTACCCACCAGGTACTAATCAAGATTTTGCTTCTAGGAATGTAAGAAACCTGGATACTATTTGCCGCAAATTATAGTATTAAAAAACTTTTTTGTTGATATTTTAACAAATATATTTTTTTAGAAAAGTATATATAAAAAAGTACTCATTGTTTTCTAGCTTTAAATTTACAATATTGTTATATAGTACTTTTTCTTTTGCCAGCTTGTTTGCTTTATTATTTTATTTTATACTACTATATACTTTGATTTTAATTAACTCTAACTTAATATTTTTAAATTTGCACATGTTTTTGATCTTTGACACTAATAAAAAATTCTTTTCTTTACTTTATTTATACATATTTTCAAGATTTATAAATTTTTTTAGACTTGCAATTGCAGCTAAACTATCTAAATTAATAACTAGTTTACTGTTACTATCTACTATTAATACAACTATTTATACTATAGTTGACTTTGTCTTTGTTAAAAATATCTATTTATCTATTCTAATTTTACTTTCTATTATTATTATCTTTTTATATATCTATTTTATATTTATTTTATAACTTTTCTTTTTCTTAACCAAAGATTTATTTATATAAAAATTGTATTCTTTTCTACTCTTTTTTTAATTTTTTTTAATTGCTTCAGCAAAAAAGATTCTAGTTCTTCACTGACCTTTGCTATTTAACTAAACTAACTTCATATTTATATACTTTAATCTTTTTATTTAATATTACTTTATATATACTCTTTGCTATTTTGTTATCTAGTACTTTAATACTTTTTATTTTTCTTAGTAATAATAGACTTTTCTTATCTTGCTTTTGCTTAACAGTAGGCAGAACTTCAAGAACTTGTATACCTTTTATTTACTATTAGTATATTTTTAGATTATATAACAAATTTAAATTATATATTTTGTATTTTGTTAATACTAAGCTATTCTCTTTGCTTTTTTGCTAGTGATTTATAAGTATATATAGTCGACTCTAGATATACCAAACCTGTTTATACTAAAATCTGGCTATAATAAACTAGATCTGAGAGAATGGATTTTTTATAATAAATTAAGCTAGTTATACCAAACTTAAATAGTAAATCTTTATATACTATATCCAAACTCGTCTTTATTAGCCCAAGACTATGTATACATATTTTAATATAGTAAACTATTATATAATTTCACAGATATACATATATACAAAGTAATATGTTTTGAATTTTTCAAAAAGAAAATTAAAGAACAAAGGACAAGCCAAAATTTCAAGTAAAATTCTGAAATTTTCTAGATTAATTTAAATCTGTAAGAGGTTCTATTAACTAGCTTTATATACTAAACAGTTCAGTATAAAGAGAGTGAATTATATAACGAACATACTCTATACTGAATGAAAAGATCCAGAATATACAGTTCGGTATATCCAAAATTGACTATATATCTTGTTTTTTTTTACAACTTTTTCAACTATTATATCTTCTTTTTTTTTTTACTTACTAAAATTCATTCTCATTTTTTTTTTATTAATTAATAGCTTTTTAGTATATACTTGCATTATTAATTTATTTTTATTAGAGTTTTAAAAGGTGTTTTTAAACTCTCTTGTATACTAATCACTTATTAACTTCTTTTTAATTTCTTTAAACTATTTAACTTTTGGCTTTTTTTAAATTTTGACTTTTAGTACTTAGAACTACTTTTATATAATATTATATTTTTATTTGTATTAACTAGTTCGTTTATATAAAACAAATTATACTTTTTAATACTTGTATATACTTTATTAAAATTAACTTTACTAAAAAACTTTACAAATAGTTAGCTCTATTCTGTAAATATGCTATAATCTGTTATTAAATCTAATTGCAATTTTAATTATACTTGCTTTGGCTAATACTAAATTTGCTAGATTGTTTTTTTATATTTTTTTTAAACTAGAAGCTATTAATAGCTTTTACATCTTTGTTATTAATTTAGCTAATATATAACCTTGTTTAACTCATATTTGTATTAGTTTATTAATTTAACTATTACTATTCAGTTTGTTCTACAAGCTTACTAGCCAACAATTTATAATTTTTTGACTTAGCCTTTTATTTAATTTTTTTTTTTATATATTAAAGTGACTACTTAGGCCATTGGCATAAGCTTTATTCAGGTAGTTATAATATTATATCTGTTTTATGAAGATACAAATAGCCACATGTGCATCTTTTGGGTGCCTAATTTAAGTAGTCCATCTGGGTTCTACACTAGCCACCATACCTGTAATTTAACTAGAAGATTATCTATTTAAGCTTTTTAGTTATTTCTAATGAGAGTATGACTAGCTATACATGCAACTTTTGGTTGTCTATTTAAGTAGTCTGCTCTAGATTCTAC